TATTTGTAAAATATTTATACACGATTTAATTTTAAATTTATTTACATATTTTAATTGATTACATAAATAAATAATACCAACGTCCATTAAATATTTTTTATTACATAATAAAAAAACAAGATGAAGACGTGCAACTTCTATAACTCTTATAAATAATAATGATATTATATGACAACATATTTTATAATAAAATAACAATTAACTATTATATAGTGGACAAGAATAAGTAAAATTGTTAATTTCTCTTATATCAAGGAATAAATATATATAATAAAATCAAATTTATATTAGTATAAATGTGTTAGTGGGATAATATATTAATTATTTTACAAGCTAGCCCTAACATGCTCACATTTCAATGTTATGACTAATAAAACAACGCTGATTAAAAGAGGTGAAAAATAAATTATAACCCTAGTTGTTTAGACTTAACGGTGATTACAAAAGGTAGAAAATGGATGATAACCTATTGCTTTTCAGACTTAAACGGACAGAGCATGTGAAAATAATTCATTTAATATCTCTGTCATATGCATCGCATGGGGTACATACTAGTTAAAAAATAAAGAAAATGAATACATAATATATAAAAAGAAAAAAAAAAAAGCAAAAGTTGGGTGGGACAATGCCACCAACACGTGTTAGTGTGCGAGTGAGTAAATTTTAATTTTTTATTCTTTTTTTTAATAAAGTAGAGGTTTAGAGGAGGAGTAATATTATTTTAATTTTTAATTCTTGTTTTTAATAAAGTAGAGGTTTAGAGGAGGAGCAAGATTCCAAACCGGTATTGAATTTTCAAACCTCAATGCTATGCTTTCTAGTGGAAAACCTGTGAGCATTAAGATTTTAAACCTTATGAAAACCTCCTATTAGATATGCTCTTAGTCATTATGTTTTTTTCACTTTAATATTTTCGAAAACATAATGGGCTGTTTGTATGGGTGAGCAAAATCGAATTGAAACCGAAAAATCGAACCAAATCGATGTATTCGGTGCGTTTCGGTTCAATTTTTCAAAGATTCGGTCTTTGGTGAGGTCAATATTTTAAAAAACATTTATGAATAAGAAAAAAAGGTAGTACAAGGCGAACAACACCTCACATACCTAGTCAATCAAACTTGTGATTGCACATTGTGCATCATTAGGGTTGTAAACGAGCCGAGCCGAGCTCGAGATAGAGCCATTAACGAACTGATTGGCTTGTTAACGAGCCCAAAATTGAGCTCGAGCTCGATTCGTTTATCAGTATTAACGAGTCAAGCTCGAGCCAAATCAAGCTTTAACGAGCCGAGCTATATAAAATTATATAAAAATCAACTTTTTGAGCCGAGCCAATCTTGGCTCATTATCTAAACGAGCTTTAGACAAGCTCGAACTTGGTTTGTTTATCAAACCAGTCGAGCTCATGAGCAGTTCGTTTCGTTTAATGTTGTAACACAAATTGTTATTTTTATCGAGTACCGAATCGAAAGATTCGTTCCCCGGGTCGATCTCACGAGGAAGGCAGTTCGGAATTCAGCGTTGGTATCGATCACACATAAAAAGAAAATAAATTCTACACACTCTAATCAGATAAGAGGATTGAATAATTACTAACTAAGAAATAATAAAAAGCAATAATCTACTTAAAAATGCGAACGGAACAAAGATGGAGAATCTAGGGAATCATAGATAAATAATTCGAGTTCTAGCAAAGCCGGGCAATTAATCGCTCGGTTCGAGATTGATACTCTCGCTTAGACATCTAGCGGTTCGCTCCCAATAACTCTTTGTAAAAAGGGATTGAATATAGACGAACAAACTCGAGCATACGACACTGGCCAATTATCCCAACCCCAATAACTTTTCGTAACAAAGGACGGGTCATCGACAAGCACGTATTTCAATCCAAAACCTATATATTGTTCAATTACGAAATCATCTACCTCATGCGAGCCTAGGTCTACGACTTCTCCCATTTCGGATCTAAAAGTTGCTAATTAACTAGAAGGTAATTAATCAACTAATCATATAGAATTGACAAACCCTAACTCGACAAATAAATATTCAGTGTTTCCAATTGCAAGATCGAAGTGTCACTCTTCGATTGTATCCATCAATCAAGCAAGACTACATCAATTCCGAATTTATTTAACTCACATAAGCACGAATGAATCAAGCCCGACAGTACAGTTCAAACAAGAATAATCATCTTCTATCCCTAGCAATAGGAATTAGCTACGTAAATACAAATTCAACACACATAATCATTCTTCTCAAATCAACCATTATTCATGAATTAAATAAGAGAAAAAAAAATACTTACAATCAATCCAAATTCACGTGTTGAATCCACTTACAAAGCTTACTCCCTAATTATTAAGAAGAAGAAGAAAAATGGAAGAGAAAGATTAAGCAAAGAGGAAAAACGAAGAAGAAGAAAGGAAAAAGAAGGAGAAGAAAAGCTGTCGTGTTTTTTCTCTCGGGCCTAGGGTTTCATTTCCAGGAGGGGAGAATAATTCTGTCGAAGTTCTGATCCAAATATATATAGGCGGGCTTCAGTCACGGCGCGAGGAAAACATCACGGCGCGGAGAAGAGTGGTGCCACGGCGCGGGGGTAGCATTGCGGCGCGAGGGAACATGGGTGCAGCGACGTGGTGGTCTGATGTGCGTCTTCTGTCCAGGCGTGTCAGGCAGCGCGCGGCACGAGGAAACATAGTGCCGCAGCGCGACGCACTGCCACAGCGTGAAGCAGGAGGGTGCCGCTGCGTGGCGCTGGAATGCTGCGGGTTCTGTTGGGGTCGCGGCATGGGCGCGGCGCGGGGTCTAGGGCAGCTCGCACTTTTTCACGTCTCGGGCTCGTTTGGGCTCGTCCGAACTCGGAATTGAGTTTCGTTTTTTTCTGTGTGTTCCCAACGAACTCCCTATTTAGTTACGCTTGCGCGACTAATTTTTGCTTGAAATCCGGTCCTCCCGAGGCTTCCGATCTACACAACATAAACAAAGAAAAACTGGAAAAACATACGAAAAACACAAGAAAAACCTCAAAACGAGTACACCCGAAGTGTCAACTGACATCACTAGATCAGTACAAATACTATATCCGCCCACTTGGAACATAGACGACCAAGGGGTACAGATAAACTCCAAAAAGAAGACTAGAAACTCCATGAAGAGACTAAAACCAGACGCATCTGGACTTGAACTAAAAACAAATGGAAAAAACCATACAAATGAACTACCACGCACACCTAAAAAGTACAATAAAGTTCTCTCCGACCACCGTCTACCAACCCTACACTACAACCTCCAGAAACAGCAAATCGAAGATAGTCTACAAAGAAGAGCCCAACCTTAGCCAAGAACACTAGTCTAGAATCTCCACACTCCAAATCGACTATGGCTAGCCAGAGCTGAGACTCTTGACCCCGATTAACCCTTTAGTGCAAACGAACCCCTTCAAACAGCAATCCACGGCAACAATCCACTAGCCACCCGCCCCAAACACAAGAAAATCAGTTGCAACCCGGATGGGAGGCCTGCCCCTGAGACATAAATCACGAAAAAGGGGAGAGGTGGACGAGGACGTTGCCTCGACAATGCACACGGCGGCCGAAATCCGACTTCCACCCGCCTCTGGGATTTTTTCGATGACGGGCATAACGCCTGTCGGCGCCGACCTAATTGGGCTGAAATCCGACATCCCAAACCGTAGCAGAAGCCGACCCGCCTGACGCCGGCCGTGGCACGCGATGGACGCACAGGGGAGGGGACGAGATTGCCAACCTCAGTGTCGGCCACCCGAAGGAAGGAAGAAGGAGATGAGGCGGCCAGGAGGCGGAGTAAGATCTGGCTATTTTTTTTATTACTGTTCAAATGGCTCTTTTTCAAAGGAGAGAGTTTAAAATAATTGCACAATTCCAGATAGATGTATATATTCAACATAACAATCATGTGTAACTTAATAACCTCTCCTTGAAAAAGACAAAATAACTCTTGAACACATTTAAAAAGCTTTTGTTTTGTTATCTTTTCTTCTGTCACTTCAGGTAGGAGCCTTGAGCACTTTTTCTTGATTGTTTTTGGCAACACCCAACAATTGAGTAATATGCTAGTGACTAGTGAGTGAGAATTGTTGGGCACACAAGAGTCACGCGTTCTAATCGCCATACTCTGACTTTCAAACCTCGGACGCTACTCTACTTAACTAACTTATCATCATCTGTTATGAGTCAGAATTTTGGTCACCACATCTCTTTTTAATTAACCCCTCCCATTTTATTTTAACATTAGAAAGGAAAACAACCTTTTTGTTTTCCTTCACTATTACAAGTTACAACAACACACGTCAAAATTTCACACGTGCCTTTTGACTCTCGTTTTACTTGACAAGAAGCTTCCGAACGGGCCAACGCCGCTGACGCCTGACGCCCTAATCTTCCTACTCTCCATCACTCTACCTCGCAGCTCGATTACTGTTTTCTCCTCAAATTACCAGATCTTTTCTCTTTTTTTTGATAAATTAGATTAATCCGCAGTCCGGACATCCTTGGCCATCTCTGTAATTAAATCAGGTGAGTTTACTTTTTACTTTTGTGTATTTGGTATTTGTTGCTGACGGTTTAATTGGGTTCTTTGCGTTTCTTGATTTTGATATAGGATTGAGTAATGTTCTGCTTCTTGGCTCTGTTTTTGGCGTAATTATGCGGGTAATAAGCTATTTGAGCGCGATTGTGTGATTAGCAGCTCGTTTTTTTATTTGTCGGAAAATCGAATTGTGAAATTGCGAAGTGAAGTGAAGTTGCGCTGAGCTCGAATTGAACATCTGTTTTGCTGGTTTTCTAGCAGATTTTAATCTACCACTGCGTATCAATGTAATCACAGTTGACCGTTGCCACTGAGGTTGACTTCGTGACCGTCAATTCAGGAATTAGGGTTTTCTTCAAAAATCCCCAAATTGAAGATGGGCTGGTCCGATTTTCTCCTCTGACGTAACCCCGTCAGTTTCAATTCTCACCCAAATGGCAACAGCAAATTCACGGCCCACGATGCGAAAAGACCGTCATTGCCCCCGAGTCGACACCCTCGAGCTGAAACACCACATCCAGATGAAACTCGGCCACCACAAATCCGAAAAGTACTTTAATCTCTTAAATAAGTACTTAACCTTCGGTCTCAGCAAATCGGAATTCGACAGGTTCTGTATCGAGCTAATCGGAAAACAGAATCTCCCCCTTCACAACAAACTCATTCGCGCCATTTTAAAAAACGCATGTGCCGCCAATTCTCCTCCTCCCGGTAAAGACTCAAAACCAGCAAAAAACGGATATCAAAATAGCCTCCATTTGCTGAGGGACGTTTTCCCTCAGTCACCTAGAAAAGGGCGCTCTCCTTCCCTTCGCCACCGGATGAGCCCACTTGGGCCCAACGCGAAGGCCCAAATTGCGGCCCGTGAGGAAGCCTGCCCAAGAATCCAAGAACAGCAGAGTGCAACAGAGATTTTCTCTTTGGGCAGCCGGCCTCCGGTTGAAGTCACATCTGAAGAAGGTGAGGAAGTCGAGCAAATGGCCTTGAGCCCCGGAATACATAGCCGAACCGAACTTAAGGCTCCGTTTGGGGTTCGTTTCAATTCGAGAGAAACGAAGAAGTTTCTCTCGCGTGGATTTCCTCATGAGGAGGATTTGGAGGCTTGTTATAATAATACCGGGCTTTTAAGTACGGGTAGTTTGAGGAAGAGGTTGGATAAGAAATTGGGTGTGGAGGGCTTAACAGTCTCGGCTTATTGCGTGAACTTGATAAACAACGGGCTCGATGTGTATTTGAAGAGATTAATAAAACCCTGTCTTGATTTGGCTGCGTCGAGGTCTGTAGAGAAGACGTATGTGTCATTTGCGGACTTTGAGGTTGCAATGCAGTCGAATCCTAGGATACTCGGAGAGGATTGGCCTGTGTTGCTCGAGAAAGTGGGCTTGCGTGTGTCGGATAATTGTATGGGTTGATTTTAATTTATTTGTTTGCTCGTTAGGTGACTGACTTGCTGAGTTCATCTAAGATTGGTAACCATTGTTTGTGTGTGTGTGAAGCTCTCTTAACAGTGTCTTTAGGGAAAGGATTACTTGTGGTTTTAACGTGGTCTAGAAAAAATTTTGGTGGTTGAGAAGTTGGTAGGCTTTGTACATATGTTAGAAAGAGCTGATGATTATTTGTGAAGTAGGAAAGTTCTCTTACCTCATGAAGTATAAATGGGATATGGATACTTGTAAGGCTGTCGCCATTTCATATATAATTAAGCTGCACTCGTCTGCTGCTGATATTGTATTCTGTTCTCATTGCTGGAATCTGTTAATAAAATCTTGTTTTATTTAATGCTTAGTTCTATTAAATGGCTTCTCCAAACTTTCCATAAAATGAGAAAGTCAATGATGTTCAGTATACTGTTCTTGGATTTTTCCTTGTCATCTTGAATAGATACAGAATAATGATTTTTCCAGGTGACATTCTTTTACTGTTCATTTTAATTTATGTATTATTAATATTCTGTTAGAGCGTTTTGCTGATACAGTTACGTTTTTGCTTGCTGGAGGCTAACGGAATTAATTATGACAGTATATCTATCTTTTATTTATGCTGTATGTAATCCTTGTAACTCTGTTATGTCTGCCTGGATTTATTACAGCCCGAGTATAAGTAAGATTGGTCCGAAATCGTAAAGTATAATATTTCCAGGTAATTCATGCGCCCTCGGGACTTACAATTTCACGTACTTTATGAAACTAGTGAGTTGATAGTTACATTTGAGGTCAATTAAGTCTTAACGTTCTGATGATTTGATAATCTTTCCAGGATTACGCAGCCTTCTTTTATTATCACATGACAGAGCATGCCAGAGTAAAGCAAATNCTTTATGACAATTAACGTCCATGTATTAGGTAAGTTTGCAAAATAATTGCTGCCCTTCGCAATATTGCAATATTTGTGTAATCGATGTGTATTTTTAAAATTTTCCCTAAACAATATAAGGAAATTTTCAAAAACAAGGTAACACAACATGACTTTTGTGGGGCTTTCAATAAGTACAGGATCACAAAAATATTTATGGAAAAATTGTAAGGCCCAACAATAATAGCCCAATAATTTCAACAACTCTTTATTTGTAAAGATCCCACATTGGGAAAACAAACAAAACAATTCAGCTATATAAGTGACTTTACTACTGCCACTATGCAAAAGTCCAGCATTTGACTGCTTGGCAGAACTAACCGCTACCCGTTTAACCACTTCAAACGGTTTTTGACCAGTTTCGGGCTCCAGCGGGTCCTTACCTCAAACAAGATCGGTAATATGGCTGGTCCCTGGTTGAACCGGTCGATACCTGCCAGTCCGGTTCGATTTTCAGAACCTTGGTTTAGAGGGTAAAGGAAGGGATCTGATAAATAATTATACCTTCTTTGGAGAAAATTTGTTAGGAGGGAGCGGAGGAGAGAAAAAATAGTTCTTTTCGTGTGAGACTGCTTGGACTTCCTTTTTCTCTATTTTCATATTGTTGGCCTTGTACTTGAACATCAATAAGAGGAGAATTAACAATTGCTCTCTTTTCACCTCTTTCTTCGGTACACTGATTTCAGCTTCTGTGGCAGAAGAATTGGATTGAATGTGTTTACCTGTTTGCTGAGATCCCATAGGCTCCGAGTTACTTGACTAGTTTACACCCGAAACAATTTGGCCATCACCAACTTACAACTACTCCATAAACTGTCCTTCTTGCAACTTATTTTAAGCTTTATCCCCCAGCCTGATGTCACAGGATCGATGTAGATGGCCTAGCTTACTGCAGTAATAGCACAAGTTCAGTAACTTTTCGTACTTGAAATTTAATTTAACCACTTAATTGCCTACCATTACATCAACACATCTTAACAAGGGCTTCTTAAAATTAACTGTCACTTGGAGCCTAATTTCTCTTCCTCCTCCCACTCCACCTACTGAACTCTTGAACATTCGTCTAATTTTGAGGCCCACCTCCACTGTCATTCAATGGAGTGGTGCATTCTACACTTGAGCCCATAGATTCACCTCCTCATACACATAGGTGATTGCTCCTTATATCTTCTTTCCATTTCTGAAGGATTAAGAATTGATTTTTAAAAGTCCAATTAGTACCTAATACCACCTTCTTTAGGTCCTCTTGTTTCTCGAAGATAAATTGGAAGAAGTTTGGCTCGAGCTCTCGAACTTCTACTGCCTTTTGGATGCGACCTATTTGCCCCATTGTTTTTTTAGACAAAAAATCATGCCTTCCTATCTTTCAAGACCTTTCCAAAAAGGCATCTCTGGCACTCCTTTTTGCTCAATTTGATACCCTCTCTGCTAATGACAACGGTCGAGTTTTCTGCCACAGAGAGCGAAAAGTGTTTTAGGCTTTCCTCCAGTTCATTTTCTCCGCCACTAGAACTTGGGGCTTTTCCAGCACTGGGCTCCATGAGCACCTAATAAAACTTTGCCCTAAAGAATTTCTCTCATTTAAGATTGAAGAAGTGAAGAATCTCATTCGAGAGAATAATATATCTCATTTTTTTAATTTTTTTTTTGCCAAACATCAAATTGTATTACCACACTTCGAAAGTACAAACCGGTAAGCAACGGATTACACTTGACAACCTTTACTAGCTTATACTAGAAAAGAAACCAAACGGGGAATTACACAACAAGTGTTTCCCTACACGACCCTTCAACGGCGTTGGAATCGCCGTCACCAGCATCGCCCGAGCCTTCTACGCACGGCTCGAACCGACGTCCCCCACTAGAACCACCGACGAGGCCCCCAAACCTTGAGGAGCAGGTGCTGGGGTCATCAGTGTCTGCAAAGGTCCAGAGAAACCCGGAGGAGGGCCCATCTCCGAGCGACTTCGTCGTCGTCCAAGCTTCATCGAACGACGACTGCAAATTTGATTCTGGGAATTTCGTCCGCCATAGCCACGAAGCTCAAACAACCTTAGCACACCACTTTCGAACGAAAGTCCCACAGACGGCGCCAAATGGTAACGTCAAACACTCCGACTGGCTGGAATTTGGTTCGCCTTCTTCCTTCTCGCCGGTAGAACGCCGCGTACTTGCAAAGAACTCTCACACTTGAGGGGTTTCCGGTGAAGAGCCTCCGATGCTTAAGTCAGTGTTTGTTCTACTCAATTCTAGAGAGTAAAAAATGAATAAATCGTGCTCAACAAGAAAAGCTCACCCCTATATATAGGGGTGGGATACCTGACCTAGGAGCTACCCGGATTTGATGAGTTGTCTACCCAAAGCTGCTCGGGCTTGCCCGTCCGTACACACATAGTGTGCGTGTGTCAGAGACGGTTATCAGCATAGACCGGTACATTCGCGCCATGTGTCCTCTACACATGTGGTAAATATTCCCCTGAATATTCTTCTGATATTCCTTTGATTTTCCATTAAAGGCTCTTACGCTCAACCATGTCTAGGTCAATCCTCAGACTACCCTCAGTCTGTGAACTGGTCGATCAGATTCTCCTTTGCTCGACAGGTCAATCTTCGACCAGATCCTTCATGGACCAGACACCGACTTATACCCCTCGTACTGGAATCCTCCGTATCTTGTTTTCGTAGTGATCGACCACAATCGCTCTGCTCGATGTTGTTCGACCTGTGTGGCCTCCTCCATATCGGATCTGTTCGGCCGGCCTAGTGAACCGATTTACTCCTTTAGGTATATAATATCCCATATCAGATGGTAATGTGCAACACCGCCGAATGGGTCCCGCACTAAGCAGTCGCTATTCCCACAGGATATCTGACACATATCTTTTTTTGAATTTAATGCTTACTCAGAGTCTGTTCTTCGCAGGAACCAAATCGGACCTCTCATGGTGTAGTATCCGAGTATCTAGTACAGTTGATCCTTGGCCTTTACATTGCAATGCTTCATAGTCCGACCTCCAAATAAGGTGGTCAGCGGCCTTGGTTCGGATTCTGTTACCATCCGAGTTTTCTGATAAAATGGAGAAATCCGGCTAATCTTGTCGAGTTCATTCGCTGTTTAGGAGTCCTCATTAGTTGATCTGATGCCACGTGCCACTTTATTATGTATCTGCCAAGTCGGGTATTAACAACCAAATTTTGAAAATTTGTCCCAAAAAATTTCTGGTAAGTCGGAATCGACTTTTAAATTCAACATAAGAAACACAAATACGTATCACTTAAAAAAAAACTCGTTTTAATCACAAAATCTGTTTCTTCAGTATTATATTAGAAGTAATGATAAATAACTAATTAAAAACGAGTTTCAACACATATACATATTAAGAATTTGTAAATAGAAACCACAAACATCAACCACGGGAACGTGAGATGAAACCAAAATTCCATTAGTAAATGAATAAATTTATTATATAAAAAAAAAAAAAAAAAAAAAAAAAACAACTTAACTGTCAGTTCTATATTGTCATAGAATACGTATAGCCGAATAATAGAAAATATGTTTGCCTTGAAGAAATAGACGCTCCGATACTGTGCAACGAGCACTACACTTTTTCTCTCAGGATAAGACATGTCAAAGTGTGAAGACTACACTATCTAACACACTCACCTCGATCGAATTCTCGGTTGCCAAGAACCCTTAATTTTTCTTAGTCTTGTAGAGGATAAAAGAGAATATATGTATATATAAAATGTTCATTTCCTTTGCTTTTTGACGAGAAGGGGTAGCTTAGTTAGTAGCACTTTTCACTTGGGACCAATAGGTCTCGAGTTCAAGTCATACAAGGGGTAAGTGGGGAACCACTATTGATCCTGTTTTGAGAAAAAAAAAAAAAAAAAAAGTTTCTTTTTGCTTTTCTTGGGTGTGTTCTCGTATATCTCCCATGCACTATATATAGTGCTTCACAGACATCAAATTCAATGCATGAGAGATGCCTTAATGCCTTCATTAAGACAAAAGTTATTGAAACAAAGTTTCCATCTCAATTCTCAAAACCGAACAAACATAATGTTCGATTAAGTTTTTCCGAATTGAATTTGAACATTTACATTTGTGACATTAAAGGCACTCATTTATCTAAGGATTCCCACGAAATATATTTTCTCTTTTACATGTAACCTTATTACAACAGTAATAATGTCTTTATTTTTTCAAAAATGATGACAATTATTCTGCTACTATATAGGCATTTTTAGAAAAAAAAAAACAAAAATTAAGAAATATCAGTAATTTGACAAATACTTTATTTTCGTAACATCACAAATGATTTTTTGTTAAGTTTAAAGTACTTAATTTCAAAGTTGTTATGAAAAAAAATATGTTTTATATTGTAGTCACAGTCGGTTATATGTAATGTTTTTAGTCACGAATCTCTATAATCTAATTATTATTGTTTATCACGATAATCCCCTCTATATATAATTTCAGAATGCGCTGAAGCTACGTGACAAACTTTCATGCTTTGGAATCCTATTTGACAAAAAATCATGTTTTGGAGTTAGACTTAGATATAAATTAATATTTATATTAGTTGTATTTTAATAACGTTTCCTATTATAACCATTGAATTGAAAATATATTTTAAAAGTTGATAACTTTTGTATTTCTTATCGGTTTTATATATATAATATATCAAATTAATCATCTTTTGATGAGTTTCGATTTGACATCCATATTGTATATATAAAATAGATAAATTATATTTATCTTATATATAATTATATTTATCCTTTATAATAAGAAAAAAATTATTTATTAAAATTAATTAGAAAATAAAATTATTATCAATTAGTATATTTATGTTTAATGTAGTTATATGTTATAAGGTAGAAAATTTATTATAATATAACACATATAAGTCACACAAGTAACATGTCATACTAAAATATATAATAATATATATTCCCTCCTATTTTTATTATTTGTCACTTTAGGTTAATTGATAATTGATAAAATAAATGTCCTTTTAGATATTTTGTTCATATTTTTCCATTTTTAACCCTTCATCTAATACACAGTGTCTCTTCATATCACATCTCTATCGTTTCCCATAACATCCATTAAAGGGTCAATATTGTCAAGAAAAAAAAAATCTTAATTAGTGTGTTGCATTTGAATTGATATTATGAAATTCGTTTGTATTCTACTATATATATATATATAATACAAAACAGTAATATATATCTTTCTAAATAAAATTTAAATTTGTTTATCAAACTAAATTAAATTATATCAAATAAAACTATAAATTATATTATAAAGTAATAGAAATTGGTATGTATTCTTTTAAAAATGATATTTATTCAAATCTAATTGGTATGTTGTCAATGTAATAAAAATAAATAATTATTTGTATAAATTCTAAAATTACATATAAAGTTTAAAACTCTGAAACACGACTGATACGACACTTGATGTATTATGCATCTAATTATGTAAGAAAATTAATCTATTTTGTTTAATATTAAATAAACATATTCTACACTTATGCATATACATATTATTTCTATTTATTTAAGATATATATTTTTGTACTTATGTAATAGTAAATAATATCGATATTTTTATATGATAAAAGTAAAAAAATACAACGCAGGTTGACATTTTCATTTAATGTACGGGTGTTTAATTATTATGATTAACAAAATATAATTTGACAATTTAATTAAAGCTCAAAGTAATATTTTATATAAAATTAAATTATTTTAGTTTAAAACAAATTTTTAATATTTTTTATAAAAGTTTTCTAATTCAACACCCGTGTAATACACGGGTATTGTACTAGTAGTGATTATAAACATAGTTTATCCACAACTATGTTATATTCAGGGAATCATTTTAAAATGTAATATATAAACATTTCATTCTACATTTTATTATCCCTATACATGTTTTATGGATACTTTTTTTTTTTTAATTTAAATTCTAATTTACTCACGGTATTTTTAACCGAAGGTCTCCCAATGCGCAAGTGTCGTACTGTTATTATTTTATCATAGGTAAAAATACGGATGGAAAATAGTTAAAATAATTTAGCACTATGGTAGGGTGACGAAATATATGCAAAATCCATTTGGGTACTATTGGCTCCACAAAAAGCCTCAACCCTTTACAACAATATAGATGCGCCTCGCCAATGACCTCTTGGCCTAGCGGCAAGAGTGAGGCACCCCTTGACTCAGGTCAAGGGTTCGAGTTTCACGGAGCGCAATGGTGGAACAATTAATACTGATGACTAGAAGCTGCAGTGTGGGAGACTGAAACTCGGTGGGAACCAGCGGCTGGGATAGGTGGGGCCAGCAAGCGATCACTTCGGTGGGAACCAGCGGCTGGATAGGTGGGGCCAACTTGGAGCTGGGAGGGCCAGCGAGCGATCACTTGGGGATCGACTCCTTGTGCGCGGTAGTTGAGGGTATTAAGTACCTGTGAGCCATTGTGTGGCTACCGCAGTTTAATTGGAAGCAGTGTCTGAGGGGCCGGAGTATGGCTACCGCAGTTTAATTGGAGACAGTGTCTGAGGGGCCGGAGTTGTTTCCTCGAGGAGGGTAATAAGTACCTGTGAGCCATTGTGTGGCTACCGCAGTTTAATTGGAGGCAGTGTCTGAGGGGCCGGAGTATGGCTACCGCAGTTTAATTGGAGACAGTGTCTGAGGGGCCGGAGTTGTTTCCTCGAGGAGGGTAATAAGTACCTGTGAGCCATTGTGTGGCTACCGCAGTTTAATTGGAAGCAGTGTCTGAGGGGCCGGAGTATGGCTACCGCAGTTTAATTGGAGACAGTGTCTGAGGGGCCGGAGTTGTTTCCTCGAGGAGGGTAATAAGTACCTGTGAGCCATTGTGTGGCTACCGCAGTTTAATTGGAGACAGTGTCTGAGGGGCCGGAGTTGTTTCCTCGAGGACTAGTCAGGCGCAAGTCTGGAACCTCGGTATCAAAAAAAAAAA